GGGGACTATATACTGGCATAGAGACATATTCCAACTGACTTCTGCAGTGCACCTGGTTCCATGCTTTCATACAATACTGGACGATGATTTCTACATACTGTGTTTTCTACATACTGTGATTTCACAACCGGCTCCCTCATGTTAGCGACTCTCGACATTTGCGTCAATCAAGCGTGGAACTCATTGTTCGCGGTGACGAAACAGCGGTCGTTCTTGAAACAAGTTCTCGACCTGACTGTGACCGTTCGATTAACCTCGCCGCATGTTACAAGCCAAGCCTCGCCGCTCTCAAACATCAATTCCTTCATGTTACCTTCAAGACACAGCAAGTGAAAGAAGTCATCTAGCATTCTGCCATACATCTCAAAATTTGTTTCACTATCGACGTGAAATGCGTCATTCTCCGGCTTCCATGGGCGTCATCCCCGTTCCAACGGTAATGCAAAGCTTGACTGCTCGTCAAACCGCCATGGTTGTAAATTGAAAAACAGAATTTAATACACTTTTGTGAGCAGAGCTCAGCTACGATTGTACTGATACTATGCCTAGTGTAGTATGTTGTATGTATTACTGGCTTAATTTTAATCCAACTATATATATTTGATTTATTTAATTGGTGTAATGATGCAATGGTGTAAAGTAATGTATTGTAGCTGAAATGATATGGGATAAGTGTTGTGATTGAAGTGATGTAGAGCATTTAGAGTGACATCACTTCTATGAGGTGTTTGGGAGTTTTGGCAATATTCTTCCATAGTGTAACATGTTATCCTACTATTGATGGTTCATCATCAATTAGCACAAATCGAAATTATAGAGCATCTTAGGGATTTAGTTCAGGAGCTTTTAATTGTAGATTACAATTCTTAGTTCAATTTGTTGAGTTTCCAATTGTATACTAAATATCTAATTTTGTTTGTATTCTTTGATATAGATCTATAGGCTTTATGCATCTTAGTTGGATTGTTGCAATTAGATAGTTGATTCTATTAGGATAAAATACAAGAATTTTGAGATTTTGCAAGAGATAAAGCATTCTTTGGTTTGAACAAGTTAATTTAGTAAATAGAATCTTTGATTTTTATTTATTTATTTATTTTTAATTTATAGTTTTTACAAAATAAAATTCTAAATTGGTATTTTTATTAATCCAATCAATATTTAATTAAGAATAAATTAAGAACTAAAAAGATGTTTAGTAAATACATCTGCTTACTAATACTTGGTGGGATTGTAAGTTAGTATGATACTTTCAATTTCAAATTTTTCTCTAATATGGAAATCTTCTAGCTCTATATGTTTGATTTTGTTATGCATTATTAGATTTTTACTAATTTAATATTACTTATGCTATCACTCAATAGTAAAATTGATATCATCTCACTAATTTGTAATTTTTCTAGAAATCTATAGAAATAGGTTATATTTCTAGGGACCTTAAAGGGCATCCTATTCTTTGCTAATATAAAAGACAATGATAGAGTTGGTTGTAATTCAATTGATCAAACAATGGATAATAATCCAAGCTTGTAAAAAATATCCAAGATTGATTTCCAACTGTTAATTTCTACATACTGGACGATGATTTCTACATACTGGACGATGATTTGTACACATAGTATGTAGAAACCAACACAGTATGTAGAAATCATCGTCCAGTATTGTATGAAAGCATGGAACAGGTGCACTGCAGAAGTCAGTTGGAATATGTCTCTATGCCAGTATATAGTCCCCCCTCAGCGAAGATTGGCAGTAGCAAAGATTACTCAATTCGAAAACAATCGATTTGTAACAATAAAAGGAGAGGATGCTCAATAGAAGAAAAGAATTAGAAAGTGGCGAGGTACAAAGAAGCAGAACAGTGGCACTGGTGAAAAAATTGAACTCGGTCATGCACGCATGCCCATTGACCAAATCAGATAGAAAAAGGGGATGTTAATCATTTCGAAATCCGAATAGTACAGTGGTAGGCGAATGCTGTAAATGTTTTCACCTCCAAGCCAAGTACTGGCTGAGCGCATGTAAACCCACATCCCATCGACTACGAGATGTGTAGCGCGGATATCAAGTCTATGAATCCCAAAAGAATGGAATTCATCCCAAAATCGGCAGATGAATATAGGCGGTGGGTTGCTACATCAACCACAGCACGTCTCACAGGCATTTGAGGGCTGCAAACAGCGCAACCTCTCCGTATCTCAGAGTAACTTACACCTACTAGACTAAAGGACAACTACACGCATCTGAACACGATTTCCTTCGGAGTTGGTTCATAAGTGGGCTGCATTACAAGCGCAGCCTCAGCTTTTCAGTATGTTATACAGAATGCTCTGGACGTACCATCGGCTATGTCCAGTAATCCTCTAACACATAGACCCTTTGCGACAATTCAACGGACCAGCAGTCTTGACCATCCTTGACACCATTGACGCCGGACGAGGTGAGCAGCTTGCGGTCTTTGAATAACTCTGGGCTGACCACCCCATCTGGACGCTAGAAAAATAAGCCCCGGAATAGAACACGTCACCCTCCGACTTCCAATTCCAGCCCCTAGGATCCCCGAAGCTTGGCCCTCCATCGTTAATCCGCTTCGTCACCTGCTTCGAACCCTGTCCTGCATGAAACAGGTTACCTTGGCTCAATATGGTAGGAGCCTCGCTGCCGGCAATGGCGTAAATCCCCCACCCTGAGGTGTAGTCATTGTTCACGACGTGCACGTTACCGTACCGAACCCTGCAACACCACACAAGTTCCCGCGTCAGAAATCCTAATCTTTTCGACCGTTCCAAGTGCATTCATCTATTCTGTTGCTGACATCAAACACAAACAACAAAATCCTCTACGTTGTGACTCACCTTGGCATTCTTTGCACAAGTGAAGGACCGAAAATATTGTATGCAACAGTCACGCGCATGTTCCTGTCCATGTCGTCATTCATGCTAGCTCCGAGAAGCATCACCTGCAACACATCAAAGCAATTGTTAGTTCAACAGACTAGTTCTATGGGCCCCGGCATTGCCAGAATGGCTGAGAAAGGCCCTGCAACACTGCATGTAAATGAACTCCGGCACTCGTCGTACCTTGTCGTGCTGGGTGAAGTAGCAGTTCGTGATGGTCACGTCCGTCGAGCCCCTGATCACATCAATCAGTCCATCTGCAGCCCTGGCGAGGTAGACATGGTCAATCCAGATGTTCTTTGACGAGAAGATCGAAATTGCGTCGCCGTCACATCTGCCCCGGTTGCCTGTGTGGGCAGTCGAGGTCATGATCCTCCCGGGCCCTGTAGCTTGGATGTCGTGGATGGCAATACCGTGAATGATGACGCTGTTGACGCGCTGCAATGTCAACCCGGCTCCTCCGGAGATGCGTATAGTCACGCCACGACCGTCGATCGTCTTGAAGCTCGTGATCATCAGCTCGTTCTTCAACCTGATGGTCATGCTGTACGCGAATATGATCCACAGCGGCTCCAACCGAGTCACAGCGTACCGCAACGTCCCGGGAGCAGGATTCGCGGGGTTATCATCGCTCGCAGATGTGACGACGTATATCCTGCCGTTCCTGCCACCCGTGGCGCCCCTCCCGAACCCAACCGCGCACGTTGCCAACTTCTGACGCTCATTGGCCCAGTTAGGATTACATTTCCAGCAGTCGTCAACCGGATTCCCCGTTGAGCATCCACCCGAGGCCAAAGCGGCGCCCATGTTCTGGTCATCGGACGAAGCAGTCGAAGAATTATCATCGTCGTTCTCCACCATGTCGAAGCCATCGTCACTGACAACAGAGCTGCTTCCGTCAGCAGTAGTACTGTTGACTCCGGAGAGTGGAGCATCCTGGCTCACGGCAAAGCCATCTCCATTCGGCAAAGCAACGGGTTCGTCTGTTCCGGGGTCTGCTGAATATCCATCCGACTCAGAGGTACTAAACTGATAATTATCCCCGCCATTGTCCGCGTAGTTGTAAGGATCACTGCTTGCAAAGGATGATTCGTCATCATAGATGGTTTCACCCGTAATGCTGTCCACGTCATAGGGTTGGGACTTCCCCCCATTCAGTGGCTTGAGCTCAGTCCCAGACACAGCCCCCTGCCACTGGACGCAGACGAGAAGGAACACCACGATGAGCGGCGCTAGCTTGGCCATCACACCGACGGTGTAGTACCTGAACAAAGGCAAAGGGGCTCGTGAGCCAGACAGTTCCGCGCGTATCACCACAAATGCACCAACTTAACAGACATCACAGACACAACCAGTCAACAATTACACAACCGGCAAATTCCGAACCTCTAGATCACTGCCTAGACATCACAATGACTGCAATCTTACCAGTTCCGGGTTTGTCGAGTCCTTCGACCTAAGCCACCTCGAGCTCCAGCATTCACCCTCCGCGGTACCTGCAAGGATGTCGATGCCCGCCGATGCAATGCGGTACGATGCTTAATTCCTCTGCTGTGACTGACGAGCATATGTACACGAGACCCGCAAGTTGCAGGCCAGGGAGGGAAAGTTTGAAGTCGGGAAGCGGGGGCTTGGAGCGGCACAGAGTTTCTGAAATAACGGCGTCTATTTCTCAGGGGAGCTCGGAAATGGAACGTGCCGCGTGTGGCCAGGGGAGCGTGGCGGCACCTTTCCGACCAGAGCGCCAAGGGGGACCTCCGCTGATTGGGAAGGTGGGGCCGCCCTCTCCTCTCCTCCGCCACCTACTTCCGGCACTTCCCCCCCTATTTCCATGCACTCATCCCCGTCGCTCCCTCGCCACCATTGTCGTCTTCTCAGCTTCTCATCGCCATCGCGGCGTTCACATCAACCTCATTTGACCAACGGTGGACTTGGGCAACGCACGAGGCGGAGACTGACTTGGGAGTGGGACAATTACAGTGGGCTCCGTTTTGTTTTCATGCATGAGTTTTTGGAGTTAGAATTTTGAACCAGAAGGGGTAAACCTCCAGGTGCTGGTTATGGAGGGGAGAAGATGTGGAGCCCCTGCTCTTTTGGAGGGAGAGAGAACGGGCTCTGAGCTCTGGAGAGGGCATAGATTCGTCTGAGTTCAGAATTCAGTTTCCTTGTGGAAAAGTGCTGATTGTACCTCCATCATTCTTGCCAGGGGACTTTTTTCTTGTTTTCTAGAGATTTCATTCCTGCTTTTAAGGTTCCACATCAGCGACATCTATCACATTCCAATGGAATCCACCAGATTGGGCATTAGATCATTTTGGGGAATTTCTTTGGAATACCTTGGCAATGTGCTGAATCCACAATGTATTGGAACTATAAAAATTACTTTTAGGAGAAATAGTTTTATTATTAGTAATTATGATTATTTTTTTACATCCTTTTTTAATAAATTAAACAACCAACCTCAAGCGATGTTTTTTGCTGCATCCATGTAGAAAGCTTTACAAATGGGATCAAATCAAATTAGTTGAGGACAGAAAAGTGAAGCGCGCCTTGCAAGTGGGGCCCCAGCATGGAGCTATATCGTGGAGAGCTGTGACGTGAAGGGTTGAGCAACAGCAGCAGGCAGCTCCATCGTGGAGACGTTGTAGCAGACGTGGGTTCATCCCAGAACCTCCACCATCTACAAACACACAACTAGGGAAAGCTCGTTGCTGCAGTGGCACATCGAACGACGTCTTTTTTGCGTTGAGGACGTAGTCACGGAGTGACCAGGTACTGTGGCACTTGCATCAGTTATCTCTCATGACCATGTGCTGAGAACTGCGCCGCACAACTTGCTGCTTCAGCCATCTGATCGCTATGGTGACAACCTCCGTGATCAGATCACCGCAGTTGTCAACCATAAGCTAATCGTTCGCCTGTTTTATTTACCAGCTCTCTGATTAGCATCATGCTGAAAGTAATGGAACAGTACTCAAGAGTTGTTTACTGAAACAATTATTGTTGAAAGTTTCGACTGAAGAGGTTGAGGTGTGGAACAAGACGTGCAACACAATCAGCACCGCTTATATACAGGCTTGTAGAGTGAGAGATTAGTGCAACGGGACCACCACATGGCGTAGCTCCTTGTTAATGGAAGGCATTATTGAAACATAGAAATTAAACTCCACACAAGCAAGTTAGGACCAGCAAGGTTGCACTTCACAAATCAAGTGTGGTATGAGATAATTCTTCTCATTCCAACCTCTTGCTTATATTCTTGTATCAAGGTACCAAGTGCTACAACCCATATGGGATATCACCTAGGACCAGCCCTACCCTTGTACTCTAAGGTACTATGGACCAGCAACTAACATTATGGGATATCCCTAACAATACATATATTCTATTTGACCATTAGCAACTACTTGAAGAGTACTTTCTTTCAACACTCCCACTTTGCTATTGGTCAATTACCTATCAATCGTAATGCCTTACTCAACATGTTGTGTCTTTCTCTGACCAAGGCTTTTGTCAACAAATCAGCCAACATGTCTTTGGTTTCACAATACATCATATCAATAACCCCCATCTCTATCTTCTCTCTTATGAAATGATGCTGAATATCAATGTGCTTGGTTCTTGCATGATGCTTTGGATTCTTTGCAAAAGCAAGACATCCTTGATTGTCACACCTGAATGGAGTGGCCTCCAATTGCACAAGTCCAATATCTTCAAATAACAACTTCAACCAAATTGCCTCCATTGCTCCATGACTTGCTGCCATGTACTCCGCCTCCATTGTGGACCTTGCAATGGTTGGTTGTGTCTTACAATTCCAAGATATGGCTCCCACTCCAACAAAGAATACATAGCCCGTTGTTGACCTTCTATCATTTGCATCTCTTGCCCAATCCGCATCACAATATCCATGTAATGCAATACTATCTCCTCCAAGACATAATTTGAGGTTCAAAGAGCCTTTTAAGTACCTCATGATTCTCTTGATGGTTGCCCAATGCATAGGACCTGGTTTTGCCATGTGTTGGCTTACCACACTTACTGCAAATGCAAGATCCATCCTTGTGCCCACCATTGCATACATGAGTGAGCCTACTGCTGTCTTGTATGGTATGCCTTGCATTTGATGCTCCACTTCAGCATATTCCTCATCCGTGAGCTTCAACAACTTCAAGTTGGCCTCCAAAAGGGTTCCAAATGGCTTGCAATCTCCCATGTTGAATCGTTTCAACACTTCTTCAATGTACTTGCTTTGGCTCAATGTGATGGTCTTTGATTCTCTACTTCTTGTGAATTCCACACCCAAACAATAGTGGAGCTCTTCCAAATCACTCATCTCAAATTCTCTCTCTAATTTCTTCTTCAACCAATCCAATCTTACCATTGTGTTGCTTAAGATGATTAAATCATCTACATAGAGAATCACAACCAGCAAGAAGTCTTTGGCTTGCAACACATACAAAAAATGGTCAGCTTCACTCCTTACAAAACCTTCATTCACAAAGAATGAGTCAATACGTTGGTACCATGCTCTTGGTGATTGTTTGAGTCCATACAATGACTTCTTCAACTTGCAAACAAGGTTGTGTTTGTCTTGTTCAATGAATCCTTGGGGTTGCTCCATGTAGATGTCTTCTTCCAATTTTCCATTCAAGAATGTTGTCTTGACGTCCATTTGGTGCATCTCAAGGTCTATTGCTGCTCCAATTGCTACAATAGTTCTAATGGTGGTGAACTTGGCCACGGGTGCAAATGCTTCATTAAAGTCCACTCCAGCAACTTGTGAGTAGCCTTTGGCAACCAATCTTGCCTTGTACCTCACAATATTGTCCATAGCATCTCTTTTGGTTCTAAATACCCACTTACATCCAATTGTTGAACGATTTGGTGGAAGTGTAGTCAACTCCCATGTTGCATTGTCCATAAGAGATTTGTACTCTTCTTGCATGGCACTCTCCCACTTCATTGCATCACCACACCTCATTGCATCACACAAAGTCAATGGATCATCAAGAAGAGCAACATTGGCATGGTCTTCACTTACTTGTGGAAAGATGTGATTCTTCCACCATTCACCTTGTGGTCTTCTTTCACGTGTTAGATATCTTCTTTCATGCAAAGAAGATGAGCCTTCATGCACCTCTTGCTGCCTTGTATGGCTCATGGAGTTCCTTCTCTCACTCCTTGGTTGGTATTCTTCATCTTCATTCTCTTCATTGTCTTTGTTGTATCTTGCTGGAATACAACTCTTCATAGTGTTGGGCTCTTCTTCATCTATATCTTCACTTTGAGAATGTTCTTCTTCATCTTCTTGTTTGTTTGTTGGAGTTGAAGATGTGTCCACAAACACACCACTACTCCCACTTGGACACATCTCCCACTTTTCACTACCACTCTTATGCTCCAAGAACTCTACATCACGACTTTTGATGATCTTTTTGGTATCTAAACACATGAGCCTATATGCCTTGGTGCCTTCACAATAACCAAAGAATATACATCTTGTGCCTTTTGCATCAAGTTTGCCTCTCATACTATCTGGAACCTTGGCATATGCAATGCATCCAAAAATCCTCATGTGAGATATGCAAGGTTTCTTACCAGTCCAAGCTTCTTGGGGAGTCATTCCTTCAAGTGCACTTGTGGGACACCTATTTCTTGTATACACGGCATTTACCACAGCTTCCGCCCAATACTCATACCCAAGTTTTTGAGCATGAAGCATACTCCTAGCCATCTCCACAATGGTGCGATTTGCTCTTTCAGCAACTCCATTTTGTTGTGGGGTGTAGGGAGTGGAGGTTTGTCTTGCAATGCCTTCATGTTTCAATAATTCATTAAAGTGATGAGACAAATACTCACCTCCATTGTCCGATCTGAGCACCTTAATCTTGTGCTCACATTGCTTCTCCACAAGTACTTTCCACTCCTTAAACTTGGCAAAACACTCACTCTTGGCCTTGATGATGTAAATCCATACCTTCCTTGAGAAGTCATCAATAAATGTGACAAAGTACCTTGCTCCACTCATAGATGGTGTCCTCATAGGTCCACAAACATCCGAATGCACAAGCTCCAGTAATTGGTTTGCTCTTGATGCAACTCTGCTAGGAAATGGTGTCCTATGTTGTTTACCTTGAATGCATCCCTCACAAGTAAAATTCATGGTAGAATGGCCAAGGTCTAAGCCACTTACCATAGATTGAAGCTCCTTCATGCTTTTGGCATTCAAATGCCCAAGTCTTTGATGCCAAATGCCCACCTTGTCTATGTTTGATGGAAATTCAGCAAATGCAACAACCTCCACTCTATTGATCTTCTTGCAATTGATAATATAGAGATTTCCATCCCTAGTTCCTTTTGCTACTTCTTTGCCCTCCATGGTTCTCACAAAACACCCATTCATATCAAATTGCACTCTACATCCATGAGTTACAAGTTTACTCACAGAAAGGAGGTTCTTCTTCATCTTTGGCACATGCAATACTTCCTTGAGTGTGATCCTCTGGCTTGTGCCCTTCACTACCACCTCTACTATAATAGTACCCATTCCAATGGCTTGTACCATACCATTATCACCTAACCAAACCTTGGTGGCTGGAATTGGTTGATAAGTGTTAAATGAACACTTGTATGGAGTCATGTGTTTGGTACATCTAGAATCCACAATCCATTTGCTCATATCAAGCATGGAGGGAGTTTCTTTTGCCATAAATGCAAAGTCTTCACCTCCATGGTCATCAAAAGCATTGTTGGCATTCTCTCTTTCTCCTCTCTTAGCCTTGAAATAATTTCTAG